CCCCACGCCACCCCCCACCCCCCCACACACACACACATTCGCTGACCACTTTCTAAGATTCACAATGACTTGTTATGGCAGCAACTCACTGTAGACTTGGTGAAGATGACTTGCTGAAGTTCAAACCGAGCTTCAGATTGAGGAAGAAAAGGGATTTAGGTGACTTTCAATATGGCGTGGTTGTTGGTGCCAGACAGGTTAAATTAAGTATTACCAAAACTTCAAAAATCTACTGGGATTTTTACACACAATAATATCTAGTGTTTAAAAGAATGGTATAATAATAATAACTATACAGAGAGTGACATTTGTGTGAACAACAAAGCTGTATTAATATCAGAGGTCAGGAGAATGGGTAGAATGATTGAAGATGACAAAAAGAGAGGACACTTTATCAAGATTTTAATTTGTGGTTCTTTAGTTTTTTCTTATTTTATTCCTTGTGTGTCTGTAAAAATTGATTGAATATTGCTTGCTAAGTGCCGATAAGTCCTTCTGACAGAAGGAAGAAGAAAAAAGAAAGTGGGAGTAAATTTTTACTTTCTTTCACTCTCACACACACTCACACACACACAAGTCAAAGCAGCTTGGTGAAAAAGTACATGCACACTTGAAGGAAAAAAAGGTGACTTTTAGCTGCAAGTGAGCAGATCTTAAACAAATCATACACTTTAAATGAAAAAGTAAGATGAATACTGTAATAATAATAATTTAATAACAAAACAAAACAAATACTGTTAATAAAACTTGCATTTCTTTTCATCATTTCATTTTATGCTCCTATAGAGTTTAAAACGTCAGCAACTCCAGTAGCAATTATTTCCATAAAACATCCAGATCTAATGAAAGTAATTTAAAAATATCTTGTGTTTAGCATGTATAATGCCACTATTTTACATAACTTTTATTACAATATTGTGCATGATATAAAAATCATGTATAAGTTTCATTTAATCTCATGCATGTATTTATGTATCAATAAGCATATAAAAATTTTTTTTTATGGCATTAGTTAATTTGAAGAATTTCTTCAAACGGGGAGGATTGAAGTAGTGAACTTGTTTTTCAAAAGGCCATGTGAGGGTGCAGAGTGTTGTGAAATGTTTATCTTTCAGGAAAAAGCAATGTGTGTCACTGTCTGGGAGTAGAATCAAACTGTTTCTCAACAGACCTGGTTTTTCAAACAGGCTCTGAGAGTTTGCAGCTATGTCCAGATCAAGCTGATTTGATAAGAATCTGTTTTTCTCAATGTTTTGCAAATAGGAAAGTACTGATAAGCCAATAATGTCTGAATGTGGAATGTTTGTATAATTCTTTGACATCAATAGATGGTACAAGAGTAAACAAGAGCTGTGTTGAGACAGGTTTTTTGTTTTCTTTTTTCCATCAGCTTTTCAACTTACAAGTTTGTTCTACAATAAACCCTGATTTTTTTTTTTTTTTTTGCTGTCATCACACGTTTCAAGGTCTGTTTTATTTAATCAGTTTGAAGTTTAAAGTTGACTTGAACCATTAGTTTCCTTCTATCTAGTCATTGTACTCAAAGCGCTTTACAATACAGTCTGTTTCCTCATTTACCCATCCATGCAACACTCTACTAGATATTTACAAAGCTCATCTGAATCTAGAAACTAATCAGTGCTTTAGATCTATTTCATAAACTGATGGGACACACATCGGAGACAATGAGGGGTTCATTTTCTTGCTCGGGGACAGTTCAACATGTGACTGCTGGTGGACTCAAACCAACAACTCTCCCATTGGTGGACAACTGCTCTAACCACTTAGCCACAGCTGCTTCTATATTGAATCATAAATAAATTTGTTTTATTTTGATAAAGACAACAGCTGATGAAATAGCTATTAGTTCAAACCAAGGTCTGCAGAATACCATTCACTGGCATCCAACAGTCTCCACTCTTATTGGATCTCAATTAAATCAAACACATTTGGGATGTGGTGGAACTGAAGATTTGCAAATTGGAGGCACAGCTAACAAATCTGCAGCAAATGTATGATGTTAATATGTCAAAATGGGCCAAAATAACCAAAAAAAATTTCAGTTACCTTGCTGAATCTACGATATGAACGGTGTGGGTGCAGAGGGAGTCAAGACTTGTTTTTTTGTAAGTAGTTATATGAAAGTCCAACTAGTACCCATAGCAACCAGAAATAGTGGTGCTTGAAAGTTTGTGAAACCTATAGTTTTCTATATTTCTGCATAAATATGACCTAAAACATAATCAGATTTTCACACGAGTTCTAAAAGTAGTGAAGGAAATTTAAAAAAAAAAACACTGTGTGCTTGGCTTTGCTCCGATAAGGGAAGAATGTACACTCACTGGTGGTTTTATGCTTGATCAACATTTTTGCTTACATATCTACATAAGGGTAACAATAGACACTCATGATTTTATGCTTGGTCAAGATCTTACACAGAACCGCTCAAAATTAATTTGAAACTAGTCCAACTGAAACAGGAGTATGGGAGGGTCCGATACTAAAAGCAGAATGGGGCAGTAAAGGTGGCAACTAGGTCAACCAATACAATAAGAACCCCTCCCTCACTGTTAATAGTTTGAACCAGTCAGAATAGGATACACCCCGGAAAGAAGTAGGACTAGGAAAGCTTTATAATCCACTGCACGCGCTCTCAGATTCAGACAATCTTTGGGATTTGGCTCGCTAGAATCAAGGCGACGTACTCGTTTGACTGGAATTGATAATGTACATGTACTCTTTTAATGGTGTGAAAATAAACGTGTTTAATTGAAGGTAAGGTACATCTTCGATCAACGATCAGTGGGGTGAAGGTTACCCCAACAATTGGCAAGGTAAACTTAACAAAGTGGCCAGTGAGGGTTGGTTCATATCACACTTACTCTTTATCCAGAAGCTGCTTAACTGTGAGGTAGGCCCAAACCCTCTGAAGGAGACCTTCAGTCACTGTTTCAGCAGAGGGCTCCACAGGGGTGCCGGTGTTAGAAAATTTCATTTTTCTACTATTCTGTTAATGTAAAAAACAATGTAATGTCAGTATACAAGGAGTTTCACAAATGTTAAATAAGGATTTGGTAGTTTCGGGAGTGATTCTTACTGAAATGGCCACAACTTGAGGACTGAAGGTTTCAATGTTATTGTCGATTATCTCACCGGCCACCACAATCTCAGAGCCATTATAATACTGACTGAAATTAGTTTGGGTCAGGTTGGTTCCTCCCATGTAGATCATTGTCACATCTGTCAATAGAGGAATGGCCACTTCATCATAGAAACCCTGTTAACATACAAGGATGACGCATTATGGATGGTTTAAACTCTTCATGCTCAAATAGGTTTTTGTGTGAGGGAAATGCAGTAAAACACTTGGAAAAAAGGCTAGAATGATGTGTAGGAAGATACCGTCAGCTGTAAATCAGCATCAGAGTCTTCATAAATCCGTCTCGCCACACCATTGTTCTCCAGTGACATTTTCTCAAGGAACTCAAACTTGACATCAAACCCAAAACCAAGACAGTAGAGTGGGAACTTTCCTGCAATGGCCCGTCTTACATTTGACCGTATGACCTCAACGTTCATCACCCCTGCAAAGACAAGAAAGAGACATGTCTTATGGCATGTTTCCTTTAAGGATTGTTTAAAATATATGCTGACATGGACTAAAAATGTTTCATTTTAAAAGCCTTATTTAAACGTTATTAATTTAGGGAACCCGCTTTTTAAATGTAATTATTATTGTTTCGGGTGTGAAGATTTTCTGAGGTCTCTGTCCTTCAGTGAGTACAGGTGTGTTTTACTTTACCTGAGGTTGGGTCTCCATCTGTGAGAAGGATCAGGATAGATGCTGAACCTTCTCGGGGGTGTGCATTCAGCATGCGTGCTCCTTCCAGCACTGCTTCATTAATATCTGTAGCTGAAAAAAGTTCCGATATTTTAGTGCCGTCTTATTGCCAGGTATTCACATTGCAACTTTTTAAAATAAGCTTACCTCCTCTGTCTATTATATTCTTTGCAAATTCCTTAGCGCTTTCCAAATTGACACTGGTGGCCTGAACAAGCTCGCGTTTCCAGTGGAAAATGTGGCTATCAAACGTTAAAACACCAAAGAAGTCATCTTCAGCCAGATCATTCAAAATATGGATCAAAGCAATTCGAGTCTGTTTAAAATAAATAAAACAATTACTGAGGAAAGAAACAATGACACGGTGTTCGTTTTAAGTCTGGTCTTATATGTACTGGATAACAAATATTATACCATTATAAATTCATTAACTTCACCTGTTCCATTTTTCTGCCGTGCATCGAGCCACTTTGGTCAATAATAAAAACAATGTTTTTTGGTATTCGAGGAAGATTCGATGGAGCAAAGTGATGAACAAAATAGCCATCTGATGTCTAAGAAAATAAAAAGTTAAAATGAAAAGTTTGTTGAGGAGAAGAAAATTATGACCAGATGTAAAAAACCTAATGTTTTACCTTGATGTCTCCCAATCCAGCATCTCTGTTGACATCATAAACAATAACCAGATCTCCATTCATACCTTGTTCTCCACAACTGTCACAAATTTTCTGCTGGTCAACAGTTGGATAGAAATACACCCAGGCCTGCAAACCACATGAATCAGGTTTTATACGCTCTTGAAACATGGTGATATTTAACAGATTTTAAGTTTTTGAAATAAATTTATCATTTTAAATCAAACGTTGTTCCACTATAATCACCAGGATAAAATACAACTTTCCAAATAAAATGATTGGGAAAAAAAAAAAACTTGGAATCATTTTCTTTGTCTATTTTCAGCTGCTCCCTTCCTCATGGCTTGCCACATGGAACTAAGTTGGATGAATACTTGACAGTTGTTTTTACGCCAGGTGCCCTTCCTGATGCAACCATAGACCAGCGAGCTACCACAGCCCACTCTGTGGCGCAGAGAGCTGCCATGTAGGGCACCCAGGGGAGTAGGTTGTGGGGGTTAAGAGTCTTGCTCAATGGCCCAGAATGGGGCTATTGAATGTGAAGGCAGGTACGTGTGCCTCATCTTTCCCACTCACATTTCATGTTGTCAGACCAGGGGGTCGTAGC